GTCCATAATGACTGGGTTGCACGCACACCACACCTGCTGGCCATCTGGCACAGCCGAGTCTTGAATGCGCACAGTGGGCAGCTGCCACCGATGGCACACCCAGGTGCCAGGCCCCGGTGCAGCATCAGCACGCGACACAAATAGCCTCCCTGAGGGACAGCGACCTGACCAAATACCGAACGAAAGGCAGTTAGCAACATGCAGGCCCCCGCATGGGATGCAATCCGGCGGCCAATGCAATGTCAAAAAGTCCCTAACAAACAAAAGGGCCCGGATCCACAAGTTCTCTCTCTTTTGCGTCCAATCCACACTGCACCGTAGGTAATTCGGAAAGATCCACGGCTTCTCTGCAGCCACTCTACTTGCCGTGTCGACAACCCGGGTCACATCAGCGCCCAGCGCACCTGGCAACAAAATCCGACGTGAAAGGCATCAGCGGGTCACAGCGATTTCCCAGGAATGAGTGGCACGGGATCAAACGACTTGCAAACAACCACAAACGAGCAGACAGTGTCTTAGCCTGCGCCTGTCGCAGCACCCCTTCGAACGCAGCCACCTGGACAGCCCGTGTGCCATGTGCAGAGCGGTCAGCATGCAACAAAACTAATATCCCCCTGTGGCACAACTCTACAGGCGGCGACGCCACGGCCCCACCCCTTCCAAAGCCCTGCTCCCCTCCTGCTAGAGAATCAGCCAGGCATGCGTGCAGTCACGAATCGCTGCAGCCCTCTGTCTTCCGCCTCTTGGGGCTGGGATTCCCCTCCTCACCATCAGCCTCCTCTTTATCTCCCTCGCCACCTGTGCTGCCATCAGGCTCTGCAGACTGCCCAGCAGGCGCAGCAGGGGTTTGGTTCACATCCAGTCCCAGAGCGTCACTCTGCACCCCAGCAACTGCCCCCACTGCCACCTCCACTGCTGTCTCACCACGGCCCTCAGCCAGTCTGCACTCCTGACCGATCGGATCTTCGGCCCCTTCCAAGCATTCCTGCACGTTGATGTCGTACACGGCGCTCCCAAATCCACGCGAGTCGAATGGCAGCTGGGCAGGGGCAACGTCGGTGGCCGCAGCCATCACGCCACCACCATCAGGGCCGTCCACCAGAGCTCCGAGCTGGGCCCCAGCTTCCTGCCCTGCTCCACTCGTATCCAGCACAGGAGGCACCCCAACTGGCATCTCTGCACCCACTGCAGGGGCGGTGGCAGCTGCCATGGACGTGTCCGGCAAAACGGCAGTCCCCTCAGCAACGGCGTGCTCAACGGCGGCAGCATAGCCCTGGTGAAGTGCGTCGATCGCAGGATCACCTGCGACTGGGGCGCCCTGGGCAAGCAACGTAGCTTCAAAGGCTCCTGTGACAACCGCGACAGGGTGCTCCACGGGTTCCTCCTTTGGGACGAGGGCGCTGTGGGGCGTGTCCTGGTAGACAGCTTCAGCGGTGTGAGGCTGCTCGCACTTTATGAGTTCTATCTGTTGGGCAGGCAGCAACACAACCAGCATTAGGTATGGAACCACTCCGCACTTCCGGGGCACTGCTGCATCAGGACAGAGGCAAAGGAAACGCTGACAAGGTCTGAAGCGCCCAACCATCAGTGGCAGAAAGAGGTGTGTTAACCAAACGTCCTGACTAAATCCGCTGAGCACGATCCTAATCTACAATTCTCCCACAAATCTGCAATCGACCCATGGGCTTCATCCTATCACCACACAAGGAAACTATTAGAACAAAGCCAGTCACCTACCTCATGCTGCATAAGCTGAAGTTTCTGCCGGAGGATCTCGTTTTCTTCTCTCAACTTCCTGGCAGCATCCTCTGCTGAATGGCAGCGTGCCTCAAGGAGTTCTCGAACAGCACCCCATTGCTGCTTCTCATCGGCAAGCAAAGTCATCTGCAAGCACGGCAAACGTGGTTGCAGATGCAATATGAACACAAATATTGATACCACAATACAAAACACACGCATACAGGTATCATTGGGACAGTGAACAAATGCTGCTGGATCTTTGCGGCTTGTCAAACCTTACAAGCTGCAAGGGAGTCGTTTGCCCTGGGTACTTTAAACATTGTACTGCATGGACAATCAATGCCCTTGCACAATCAAGGCAATGATATGCATTGCCTCACCTGCAGCAATTGTTTTGCTTTGTTTTTTGTGCTGAAACAGCTATGCACGCATGCCATTGGCAGGCAGACACCTGTTCCACCCAATCGCTACACTATGAAATGTGGAAAACGCAAGATGCAACATGGGGCGGATAGCACTGTTCCCTGGTGCTGAGCACATCTGCATGTGGTCACTGAACAGCCATATTCTTAAGATGCTGGTCCCTCCAAAGCCGCACAACAGACACAGCAAAGGAAAGGACCAGGTACAAGAGTAAGTTTGCCACATCCCCACAACTGTTGGTAACGAATTCCCTCCTGGGCCCTCCTGGGTACCACACCTCTGATTCAAGAGCCTTCAGGTGCTCCTGCTTTCTCCTCCGTGACCTCCTGGCAGATTCTCTGTTGGAGAGCATCCTGCATCGATCCATTGAAGGGTGAGGCAAGCTAAACTAAGCCACAGCCCCAACTGAACAGTCGATGAAGTTCGTGCAGCCGCCAAAACACTGTGGAACAGTTCATTCTGGTTGGCATGAACAGGCTTCCCTTTTGCTGACATGCAGCCTTCAAGGCCTTGCAAAAGGGCATCCTCCGTTTTGACAATGAGAACTCTGCCCTTTGTTCATGTGGGCTTGGCCTGCTGTGTCTGGACTTATAACACCCTCCGTTTTGACAATGAGAACTCTGCCCTTTGTTCATGTGGACTTGGCCTGCTGTGTCTGAACTTACAACACCTGGGCTGTAGAGAAACCCACTGAATGTGCCCAACACAGCCAGGATGTTGTGGGGATGGATGTGCTGAAAGGATGCATTTGTTGCCATTTATTCAGCCCCACAAACGAGCACCCAGACACAGGGACACACCCTATGGTGCATGCTGACGATCCGATATGAGTTGACTGCGCTGTCCACACCGTTCAACATTTTTCTGACAACATGCATCGCATTACTAACTGACTCAAATGCACATAAGCACCTTTCTCTCCATTCTTCTGGTGGCCCAGCTGGACAATATAGGCCCCTTTCAATGGATACACATATAGTCAATAGAGTTTACATATTGAATTCACCCCATGCAGGGCAGAGATTTAGACAGGCAAGCCAGAGACGCATTCTTAAAGTGACAGTCGATTCAACAGCAACACAGTGCAGTATAATGGGCAGAAAGACCAACGTTCAAGCTGGGGCTCCAGAGGTTGTAGGCCACAAGGCCAGCGTCCATCTCATGCTTGCAGGCATGGCCAATTCGTGCTCAAACATTGGACACACAAAGAGGCGGAGTGCTGGCATGGGATGGAGTAATGACACCTGCTCAGTGCTGCAACTTGCCACCCCGCAACGGATGAGGGACAGGAGCACTCTCTTGGACGCATGCACACCAGTCATCGCCAGCAAGGTGCAAGGTCCAGCTTGGTCTTTTGAAGGCAACTTCCAACAAGGAATTCAGCAACTTCTGCAAATCCTTCAACTAAAATGACTAAAAGGAAAATCTAGTACAACGAAGAGGCAAACACCCCACACCTGCGCGCCCTGCGCTCCTCCGCCTTCTCCTGTTCCTCCTTGTCCACCGGCTTGCCCAGTTGGCCCAGCTGCTGCAGCTGCAGCGCCGCCGCCGCCACGGGGTTCAGGCCCGCCGCGGCCAGCGGGTTCATCAGCGCGGTGCCGGGCTGCAGGCCGGACAGCCCCGACAGCGCCGCCGTGAGCTGCTGCTGGGCGGTGGCCGCAGAGAGAGCGCTGAGGTCAGGCTGGAGGGCGGGGTTGATCGAGTTGGGCGTCACGATTTGGGACCCGCCTGCGCAGCGCGAGCGTGCGTCAGATGTACGGAGTCATCGTCGGCCGACAGGGCCGGATACCCCTGGCATCACTGCCAGCCCCACAATCGATCAGCTGTACAATCTGCTGCGCTGCGGCGCCTGATTGGATCCCTCGCCGCGGGCCGCGGTGCCCCGCCCTTTGCCCTCGCCCTCGCCCCGCCACTGTCAATCCGACGGGCGGCACCTTCCGGTGAGCGGGCGCGGGCGCCGCCCAGATGCCATGATGCTGTGGCGCCCCTCGCGCGGGCTCGCGCCCCCCCCCTCGCCAAGGCCTGGCGAAAACGCCGAATCGCCCGCCCCGGTGAAAACGCCGAATTGCCCTTCCGGGTGCCGGAACCGCCCGAGGGCCCATCTCCAGCTCCCTTGCCCCACCCTTGCCCCGCCTCCCGCCACCCCGCCTCCCAGGGGCGCCAAACGAGACCAAATACGACAAACTGCCCCCCACCCCCCACCCCACCCCTTGTTCTCTCCCTCCCCGCAGCCCAACGCCGCTGCTCGCCCCACAGAATCACGCAACCGGCCGATGGCCGGCCACCCCAGTGGCCACAACTCAACCCCTCCCCGCCTCCTGTCATGACATGTTTCGCTCTTTCTCTTTGCAACAAATGTTCCCCCTCACACACACACACACCACCCTGCTTTTTCCGCCCCACTGCCGCCGTTCACCCACCGGCTATGTCCACTGCGCCGGACGTCGCGGTGCCCGTGGGCGCCTCCCCGGACGCCACGCCGCCGCCCAGGCCGCCCTGCCCGGGCACCATGAACTGCCGCAGAAAATCCAGCGACGCCACTCGCGGCACGCCGCCCGCATCCCCGGACGCCGGTGCCGGCGCGGAGGCCCCCGGGCCCCCCCCGTTGGCCACGCAGCCGTTCCCCTGGCCCTCTCCCGGCTGCACATTCTGCAGATTGGACGCCGAGGGGACCTGCTTCAGCAGGTGCTGCACGGCGTCTGCAGACTCGGTGCGGCCCAGGCCCGCGGCGCCGTAGCGCCATATCTCCCCCACCACGTCGTCCACCGAGAAGTTGCGTTCCATGGATGGTTTCTGGCAGGCGCCGGGCTGCGCTTTTGGGTTGCCGGGGTGGCCGCCACGCCAACCGTCGGGCGCCCGCGTGCGATGCTCTGACGACGCCACTGACGTGCGCGTTGACATCAGACAAGCGGGGACGGCGACCCCCTTTTGAGGGGGTGGGCCGGGGCGCCCCTGCACCCCTCAGTGGGGACACAGTCATCTCGGGGGTGACGCATGCCCGGGAGACACGTGGGCAGCCAAACAAGCGGGTGCCCAGGTCACGTGGCGGGTTTGGGGAGGTTGGGTGGCTCTGGAGCCTCCGGCCTGGGGACTATGAGGAGAAGTGTAGGTTACGCATAGTAGGCAAGGTTACGGTAGGCCCGGAAATAGGGCGGGAGAATTCCACTGACTCATGCGTGATTCGGCTGGCTCCGACTTCTCGTCCTGTCGAAAGCGCGCAGAGGCTGTGGCGCCAAGGACCCTTGGGGCCGAAAAGCATGACGGGACGACTTTCAATGGCTCCGAGTGGGTCGCGAGTGGCGCCGCTGCCTAAGAGACCTGTCAGGAGCTAGACTGCACTTCGTTTTCTCGCTCCAACTGCGTGTCACGTTGCAGCGAGCCGGTCCCATCGGCATGGTTTTTGATCCTTGGAAAAGATCTGTTGCGCCGGGCCATTGCCTGTGTTTTTTGCACCTCTGGAGTAGGCCATCGCCGACGCTCCTATGCCTGTCGACCCTGAGGAGGTCGTCAAGGCCCTCCAGGCTTTGTTGGGCCAATTGCCTGGTGTTGCATCGTCTTCGGGAGCAACAGATCCGGCAGAGCGGGCAGCCTTGTCTGAGCAGTCTCGCGCTCAATTGGCTGCCAAGGAGGTCGCCGATCGTCTGCAGGCTTTGGCCCAGCGGTTTGGGGCCCCTCTCTCCCCTACGCTCGCCAACTTGTTGGTCCTGCGATCAGGCAAGAACATTCAGCCGGCCAGGAACAATCCCGTTCCCCGCCCACCCTCCCAGTTTGGCAAGTGGTTCGACGTTCTGCAGACTGCCGATGGTATCACTGTGGCTCAAGCTCTGGGCCACCGATCGGGCTACATCGCGGAGGCTACACGCGAATTGGGCACCCGTGGTCTCGTTTTTCTTCGATCTGCAAATCCGCCTCATCGCCCTAGGGGCCCACGAGTCCATCCCGCCGGAGGTCAAGGCCGCCTTGGAACCGTTCGTGTCCCTCTACATCGATGTTACCGACCTCGCTTTTGCTACCTTGGCCGTGCGCCGCAATCAAGCGTCCTACGCGGGTACCCCCTTGTCCGAGGCCTACAAGAGCCTCTACACCAACATCCAATTGGCCGGCGCCCAGGCCCGCTACCAAACGGCTTTGGAGGCGGCCACTACCAAGGCGATCTGCGCCCAGATTCAGAAATCCACCCTTAAAGTTCAGGCTAAGGGGGCTGCTTGCGGACGGCGCAAAGGTCGGGGCGCAAGAGGCTCAAGTTCTCAAGGTTCCAGCCACCGAGGGCCGGGGCGTGGCCATTCAGGCAATCGCGGCGGTCGTGGACGGGGCTCCGGTGCCGGGGGCTCTTCCCCGGCCCGGTCTTGGCAACCCCTTTCAAGTAGAGGTGGCCACCCGGATCCGTTAATAGCGGACAGAGGTTAATTTCCGTTAATTTTCCGTTAATTAATGGAAAATAACGAAAAAAGACAAAAATAAACTAAAAATTAACGGATTTTTGGATTTTTTGGGGGATTTTTGGGTTTTAGTCATACTTATAGTTTATGGAATTCGCTATTAGAGAGTATGTTTGTATTTTATTTCAGCCTATGCATACTAGATTTTTAACTAGCCGCAGTTGTTGTGACTTTTTGGGGGTTTTTTTCAATTTTTTTGGATTTTTTTTCTTTTTTCTGAATTTTTCTCCCTTTTTCTTTAACGAAATTTAACGGACAGCTGATAAAAATTAACGAACCGGATTTAACGGACTGGATGGCACCTTTGAGTGGCCACCTCTACTTTCAAGACGCCGCATGAGCTCCCCTGCGGAGCTCCGGGCGATCGCAGCCGCCCCTAACAAGCTGCGTGTTACGCGCACCGGCCTGATGTGGGGGACGCCCTACTACTGGCCCTTGGTGTGGGGGACGCCCTGCCCAAGATCGTATTGTATTCTTTGTCCTACAGTAACCATTATATCTATATGGATATGGGAGTAGGAGGGGTGGTCCCGCCTAGGTCCCCGTAAGGACCTAGATGCCCGGCGAGACGGGTCCGCGGCTCAAAGAGGGCAGGAACCCCACACCCACAGACTTTTCGTATTATTTGGTTTCGGAGCCACCTGAGGGTGGCTACCACGCTTCCGCCTGGGCGGACGCGCAAGTTCGGAGCGGCGGGCTCCCTCCCCGGTCTCCGCAATGGAGGCCGAGGAATCAGACACCTCTGCCCGCAAGGGTACCCCCGATACGTTGGGTGAGATTGGTACACCCCGGGAGGGGACACCGACCTCGGTTGGTGAAGTTCAAGCCCGGGATGGGCAAGGAGGAGTAAAAGTCCAGGAGGATATAGCTGGACCCTCCACAGCCACTTCACCATCCGTAAGGGAAGATGAACCGATGGGGGAAGCGAGTGCCCCACCGGCGGCGGAGAAGAAGCAAGAGCA